GCTGCACTTCTTCCAAAACAGATCTATTGGTTCTTTTGGCAGCCCATGGCACTTTCAATATTCTCCTCCAACACCATAACTCAAAAGCATCAATAGGTCATTGAAAATCTCATCTACTTTATTTCTTAAACTATCATTCCTTATTTAGCTTTGTGGAAAGAAGTGATCATTGTGAGAGCTGTTAGTTTTCCTACAAGAACAGTGATTGTAACTACCTTTGAGTAAGTCGGTTCCAATACTTAGCGTATCATTTTATCCTTTGGGAAGAAGTGGTGTGGACGTAATCAATCAAGGAAATTGCTGTTTCATGTTTTTAAAATTTGATCACAAACAATTTGAAGAAAATTACCAAAATCACTTTTGAAAATTGTTACGCATTTTGCATTAATTTCAGATGTTCCTCCTCTGATGTGCAAACTGCATTTGGCTGCAGGAATGACTCATGTGACTTGTAACACTTTCGGCATTTGCCCCAAACCTGTCTTTGTTGAATCTCAATATATAGTGGTTTGGACTCCTGGTGTGGCACTGGTGTAAACACTGGACTGCTAACCACAAAGTCAGAGGTTCCAGCCCACCAGCGGTTCCTCGGAAACCCTAAGCAGGGTCGCTGTGAGTCAAAACCGACTCAATGACATTTAACCACCACCACAACAAAATGCAGTGGTTTGTTCTACAGCCGGAATGGAGTATGACCGGTGCCTTGGTTTCGATGGCCTCCTGTACCCTTCGGTCCCTTGGCTACTGAGATCATAGTAGGTGGCCTGTCTTCTTTACCGAGGTGGGAAGCTGCACCGTGACAATCAGCTCGTGTGGGTGGGGAGCCCCTCTTTCCATAGACAGACGGGAGGGTATTGTATTAAATTGGGCCTCACTCAACTCCTCGTCTTGGGCAGCCTGCGGTAATTGAGGATGAGAAAGGCCTGGGTTTTGACCTGGAGCTGTTGACCCTCTAATAGAGGAGAGTCTGGGTACTTTTTCACAGATGTTTGAAGTATTGTGAGTGAGTAGAGGGCTTCATAGAAGAAAACTAAAGGGGTTCATTGTTACTGTTGCTGACCTAGAACAAGATCCTGCTGGAGCAAGAGGGCCAAAACGAAATGAGGTCATCACATTGTATTAATTGTACCAGTTGTGAAGTTGTCAAAATGAAGGATCAGCTCCCTGTTACGATCTCCTTCTAGGCCGTTCTCATTACCCTTTATATATACTTAACCAAGAGAGCTTGAAAACGCTCATTGAAAAATTCCAATACCTTTTCATTCACGTTTTCCATGAACTTTCTAAAGCAGTCTCTAATATGCTGCCCTGAACTATTGTGGGGCGAAGGGCAGGTGGTTTGGGGGTTCTGATAGGGTACGAAGCAATGTAGTTTCCATTTGTTTATCTCACTTTGCCTTTATGCATAAAGGGCTTTAAAATGTTAGTGGAAAAATGGAACTTAAAGTAACAGAACTTTTCTAGGAATTCTTTGAAGTCCCCTGCTGTGTAAATTAATCCTCATCAGAAGAAATAAGTTTCATCAGAGGCTTTTTAAAAAAACAACTTAAGAGATACCTATTTTGACTTTCGGTACATGCCGTGCTCAAGTGGGGCTCCGTCAGTAAAACACTTTCTTTCCATGTGATACGTAGATCTTTTTTTTAATGTTTTATTGTGAATTATGTGATATTTTACATGGGAGAACATTAGTTTTAACATACATTCTATCGTATATCGTCTCATTGCCATGGTTACAATCCCCTCCATGCATCATCAACCAACCACAGTGTATACCCTGCAATCCTGCCCTCTACACTACCCCCTCCCACCCCCGGTCGTCAACACACAGCCCCTCTCACCTCTGGATCTAAAGTCTCCAGCTGCTCCATCTCTCCATGATATGGGGATCTTTGAAGGTAATTTTCTAGGATTTCTGATCACATCTGTGCAGCCATGGAGCCCAGATGATTATAGACGCTGGTAGTACACTTCTCTCTGCACAAGGATCAGTGGGTCCAGTTTTCAGAGTTTTCTTTAACGAGCTTCACAGCTGCAGTTCGCAAGAAGGTAAGCCGCCCGCTTGAGAGTTCAGGTGCCACCTGCTTGAGTATTGCTGTAGCCAGGCGTTTAGCAGATGACAGGATTTAACAGACTCAAACAAGATGCCTCGTGAGATTCTAGTGTTGAATGCTGTTTGGATGCATTTTACTCACTGTCACATTGTCCAAGTGAGAGCATCACTAAGGTCTGCAAGTACAGTCTGCTGGTGTGCTTGTCAGGAACGGACCTACGCCCTTGCCACTGAGACTCAGGGCAGGGTGATAGGAAGCCGCTACTGGATTAATTACGGGAATCCGACTGTTTGTTTAGAGCAGCCCTTTGTCGAGCGTTACTGCGCTGCTCACACGCTAGTACTGCTTCACTCTCTGTAGGTAAAGCATGCTGATAGTCTGAGCGTGCAGGCCTATCTATTGTTCAGTTGGAACACACAGCCATGAGATGGTGTCAGGATCGGAGGAGCCCGATGGGTTTGACAGATTGTCCTCTAATGCATTCTTTAGTGAGTTTGGGGCCTATTGTTGCTTTTCAAGTTGTCTCTAGTATACTTTATGTTAAAATAATAGACTTGAAGGCTGTAGAAGTAGAAAGCCACGTGTTTATTGTTTTTTCCTGCCTTCTATCTTGGTAAGTTTGGAAGAGACACACTGATACCACAGCCTAACACCCTGTTCATTCCTAGAGAGAACAGTACACTTCATCACCAAGTGGAACAGATGCTCCAGAAAATCTCTCCTCTGCAGCAATGCCAGGAAGAGCTGGGCACTCTGAAAGCAGAGCTGGAGGAGAAGAAGGTAGTGGCGCTGTTTGCCTTCCCACAAAGGCTTCTGCTGAGTTCATTACGTTCTCTAATTCATTCTGCCTGGGACAAGAAGTCTCAGTGTGTGAGCAAAAATACATGCTAGTTAGTAAGAGCCTTTGGTCTCGTCTGAGAACACTGATGCGTGGCTGCCTGGCTCCATGTGGACACTGATGGTCAGCCCTGGAATACTGTTAGAAGCTAGAGAGATCATGTTGTGTGTATGTTTGTGAGTGTGTTTGTGTGGGGGGGTGGATGAGATCACAAAGGGAAGAAGAATCATTTACTCTGCAGGCACAGAAAGGGGTGGGTGAAGCCCGCCCGGCCCCTCTTGTGGTAGGCCTTGACCTCATAGGCGGGTTGGCACTAAGATGGCTTATAAATAACCTGCTCTGGGAACTCACAAAGCAAGCAGCATTCTAGCACCGTCTGCATAGCTTTACCAGTTGGGCTTGTTCAGAGTTTTTTTTTTTTTTTTTGGATGAGCATGAATATCTGGTCTCCTGTGATGTCTCCTTGTCATTGAAGCCAACCAACAAGCAGAAAACCCCACTGCCATGGAGTCAGTTCCGAATCATTGTGGCCCTGTGCGGGCAGAGGGGAGCTGCTGCTTAGGGCTTCCAGGTCTGCATGGTTCTGGGCGTAGACTGCTTGGTGGCTGTCCCATGGAGCCTCTAGGACTCCTTACTGTCACTGAGAGGCCTTCCAGCATGTCCTAACAGGGCGCTGTTCTGAGGAGAACCCAGTCAGAGACAGGCTCATCTTCCCAGTGGCACCGAGCTAGGATGAGGCACTCAGTGACAGATGTCTGCTTCGAGGATGAAAACACTCATCACCCCATCTCTGCACATTCTGTTCACACTTAAGCGGCCCTTGAGGCAGCTGACTTGCCTGCCTGCTGCAAGCTTGCTTTTTTCAATAAATGCACTTTAACCTTTTCAGGAGTCTTAGGCTCCTGCCATTGATGAACTTAGGTGGTTGGCTGTGTGGCTGCCTCGGTTCTGGGCTGTTTCCATGGTCGCACTTGTGTCTCCGTCTCAGCAGGCCTTGCTTTCCAGGGCTGACCAGGTGCTGGGCGTGCAGGGTTTCCACACCTAACAGGGATGGTTTATCTTTTTCCATGGAAAGTATATATTTCAGCTTGCAGAGAGCATTCAACAAGCTGCCACAGCCTGGAATCACGCCCAACTCTGATCACAAACTCCCCTGTTCTTTTCCAGAGCTCCCTTAAGCTGTACCAGGAAACTCATCAGGAGTATGCCCGTGTGAAGGAGGAGTGTCTTAAGAGCGATGCCCAGTACGTATGCTTGAGATGATGTTGTGGAAATGTTTGGTCTTTCTTCTGTTTGTGGGTTTGCTGGCTGTAATTCCCTGTGCGGTCCCAAGTTAGTCTCTCCTTGGTTCCCACATCTGAAAATGAGAATGACCCCTGCCCTCTAGAGTTACATGATGGTGTTTGTTGTCACCTCATAACAGCCCCATGTTTGTGGGCCTACCCCCGCAGGGGTTTCTAGGCTGTAATCTCTACGATAGGCTGAACTCTGAGCCACTTGGTCTGCAGTTTAATTCCGCCGGCCGCTCTGTGGAGAAAAAGATGAAGCTTTCTGCTCCCGCCCCACAGTGATTTAAAGACTCCGAACCCTTACACAGGGTTGCTGTGAACCAGAACCAACTCAGTGACACTTAGCAACAACAGTATTTATGGGAGCAGATCACCAGGCTTTTCTTCAGCAGAGCCACTGGGCGGGTTCAAACTGCTGACCTGTTAGATGGCAGCCATAGTGTCCATCTAGGCTCCTCTGAAGGAACCAGGAGGGGATAGATCAGCTATCATGTGCAGAAAGTCTCGTACAAAGAAAGACTCAGTGAAGGTTTCTATGTGTTTACACCTGAAGGACCTGTGAAACATTTGTGGGAAAATTAAGATACTTGTTTTTTTCCCACGACCTTTTTGGAGCCCCTGTATCTACGTGCCTGCCTATATACGTAGATCGCTTGCCTGTGTGTGTAGATCCTGGCTCCTCCCCTCTGTACCAGCCCTGTAGCAGATACTACGAGAGTGGCCTTGGTTTCCGCCCAGACAGTGTCCTGTAAAAGCATGAGATGCCTGTTGTGGTGACGGTCAGTACTCAGTGTCCAGTCATCACGTAACAAGGTGCGGCGTGCTCCTCAGGTGACTTTGCAGTCTGGCGCATTAACCCACAGCACCACACCAGGATGCTAGGACAGTCTAAACTATTTTTAGTACACATTTTTGTTGAGTTTAAAAAAATAGGTCCCTCACATTGAATTGTTTTAGATACATGTCCTTGTTACTCTTCTCTGTTATACTGTTTCTTACCATTTACCTCGTTAACATTCCTAGGAAGAAGAAACTCGAAGCCAAGGTGAAGAAGCTGGAAGGTACGTGAGCTCCTGGTATTTGGCTGCAGGCAGGCATTGGTCATTACACAGAGGTGTGTACCTGTGACTCAGTGACCGTTACATAGACGGTGTGTACCTGTGACTTAGTGACC